TTTTTAAGTAATACAACCTTTGGGTTTTTCTACAATATGGAAAAAAAGGAGTTTCGTGTCCTGACTAAGCACTGTTTTTTGATAGGAAAACAAACAGTAGAAGCAAAAGCTTGGCTTGATAAACATTACCCAGATTCTTCTCCGGGAAAATCAACCATCAAAGATTGGTACAATGAATTTAAACGTGGTCGTGTGGACACCAAAGACGCTGAACGCAGTGGTCGCCCAGAAACAGCAGTTACGCCAGAAAATGTGGCAAAAATCCGAAAAATGGTATTGGCCGATCGCAAATTGAAATTAAAGGAGATAGCTGATGCCTCAAAGATATCGGAAGGCAGTGTGTTTACGATATTACATGAACATTTGGACATGAGAAAGCTCTGCTCGAAGTGGGTGCCGCGATTGCTAGCACCGGACCAAAAGCAACCACGCATCGATGCTTCCGAGACGTGTTTAAGCATGTTGAAGCGCAATAGGACCGATTTTGTTCGCCGTTACGTAACCATGGATGAAACCTGGATACACCACTATACTCCAGAATCCAGTCGTCAGTCTTCTGAGTGGGTGGTAGCCGGTGAAAGCCGTCCGAAGCGTCCCAAAACACAAATATCGGCGGGTAAGGTTATGGCTTCTGTATTTTGGGATGCACATGGGATTTGATTTATAGACTACCTGGAAAAAGGTAAAACAATAAACAGCGAATATTATATAAAACTGCTGGATCGATTGGATCGCGTTATCAAGGAAAAACGTCCACATATGGCCAAGAAGAAACCACTGTTTCACCAGGATAATGCACCATGCCACAGGTCTATGGCAACAATGGTGAAATTGAGTGAATTGAGGTTCGAACTTCTGCCGCACCCACCTTATTCTACAGATATGGCCCCCAGTGACTACTGGCTTTTTTCAGATCTCAAAAAGCACCTCCAAGGCAAGAGATATCGATCAAATGAAGAGGTGATTGTCGATACTGAGACCTATTTTGAGGGTAAAAGTTCATCTTTCTACAAAAATGGCATAGAAAGGTTGGAGAGGCGCTGGACTGAGTGTATAGCCATAGATGGAAACTATATTGATGAATAAAACAAAATTTTCAAAAAAAAAAGTGTTTTTCCTTGTTAGGCCGGGAACTTATTGAGCGGTGTGATATATTGAGATCGCGGGTAGGCGGCGCATTCCAATCTCGCTTTGCTGCTTGCATATCTCCATTTCCCTTTGGTCCCTTTAGCTGAGTAACGAGTATCCAATAGTCGGGGTACTCGAATATAGCGTTCTTCCTTGATTTTGGGTATAGTCATCGGTGATTTTTTATACCTCAAACAATTTTGTTTAAGAAAGTTTTGAAAAAATTACACTTAATGGACAGCGATATCTTAAGAATTTGCAGCACAAAGGTAGAAAGGGCTACTTTGTCAAATTCAATTAAAAGAGAACAACGCGTTTCCGGGGAAAAACATTTGTTCCTAAATTCTTAAAAAATTGCGGTCAATCATCGAAGCTAATTTTTTCGAAACTTTTGGGCCACAAAATCTGGACTAGACTTTTACCAGATTTTGTAGTGGTGATACGCTGTAAGCATGACTGACTTATAATATTCTTCGACATTTATTTAACTCTAATTTGTTACCTACAGCGGCTCACAGCTTACTTCGTGCAGAGGTAAAATAGGTAAACTATACGAAATATAAAAAAGATTTAAATGCAGCTATGTTAGGTATTACTTTGGCTTTTCTTAAAGCACTTCATTATTTTTAACTTCCAGTAAAATGTCATCTAAAATTTAAAACTAAAAAGAACTAAAAGTATTGACTTTTTTAGGTCACAGCTTATATCGTGCAATTACTTTGTGAACATTTATATAATTTACCCTTTATTTAAATTTATATACCCCGTTACTCGTAGAGTAAAAGGGTATACTAGATTCGTCGGAAAGTATGTAACAGGCAGAAGGAAGCGTTTCCGACCCCATAAAGTATATATATTCTTGATCAGGATCACTAGCCGAGTCGATCTAGCCATGTCCGTCTGTCCGTCTGTCCGTTAGTTTCCGAGATCTCAGCGTTCATACGGACAGACGGACAGACGGACAGACGGACATGGCTAGATCGACTCGGCTAGTGATCCTGATCAAGAATATATATATACTTTATTATGTCGGAAACGCTTCCTTCTGCCTGTTACATACTTTCGGACGAATCTAGTATACCCTTTTACTGTACGAGTAACGGGTATAATTACAGTCAGGTTCGGTGGAGGTTGTATTGGAAACCTGGTCTTCATCGAAGGAAATATGGACAAACATACATATGTATGTAGATCTGGCCATTCGTAAGAGGTCAATATCTAATTAAAATAATCTCAAAACAGCAATCTTGGAAGAATGGGCCAAGATTCCAAAGGAGACCACAGAAAGTCGATTTTTTCGATGGAATCATAATGGAAGCCACACAAAGTAGTAAGTTGATTTAAAGTCAATATATTAAACATGAAGTTCCTCGGACGAAATAAGCTGTGACATAAAAATAGTCTATATTTTTAGTCATTTCTTAGTTTAAGTGTAACACAGGAACACAAAATTGAACTTTGTGAAATTTCCAGGAACCATTTCTAGTTTTTCAAGATATTTGAGGGCTGCGGAGTAAAAGTCGCATAAAAACTTTATTTCCTTCACCTACAGGTTCCGCGGTATAGCTAAGAACACAAAAAAAAAATATGGCCCACATAATTGAACATATCTTAAATATTTTCGCTGAAATACTCTCTCAATACTTGACGGCATTTCCATTGTCGATGTCTTTGAATTTAACGTCAATGTCGAACTCACCAAACTTTCACAATTTCTCTGATGGAAAACCACCTCTAAAAAATCTATTGGCGACTTTGCCTTAATTTGGGTTCAAGCGATTTCATGAGGATGTTAGTGTCCCTCTCAACAAAGGGTGCGAGATTACGTTATCGTGAAGCTGTACAAGACAAGCTATCTGTGGACATTACTTGGCCGCAGAGAAACCCAGCATCCAAAGATTCTATACATATTTCATTGTAAATGGTAATGCCCTCTAGTTTATTTTTATTTTGACTGAACAAAAACCCATTTTGGTTAGTTTCCTTTCAAAATGGCTATGTATTAGTAAGTTTCTTAAGTCGACGGAGCTGGACGTAAATAACATTGTTCAGCAGCATTTCCTACACGCCAGGGACTAAGTCTAAAAGGGGACAAAGCCTTTATACGAAAAATAAATGCAAAATATTGCAAAATAAGTTAAAAAATATGTTTTTACTTAAGATTTTTTATTTAAGAGACTCTTCCAGGTATCTTCTTCAAGCATGTGTAGTCACATGTAAGTGAGTTCGGCGATATCGCATACGGATCGGCGATACTTCCAGAAGTTACTTCAGCGACACTTCCAGGAGTGACTTCGGCGAAACTTCCAGAAGTAACGGCAGAAGTGACTTCAAGAAGTGTCGCCGAAGAGGCACATTTCTTCCCGACTGAAGTCACTTCCGCGATCCGAATGCGATATCGTTGACGATCGTTTTCAACTTCTAGATGTCACTTAATAGTGCCCTTCGCGATAGAAAATGCTTGCAGGGATGTTATTTTCTAAGACAGTATTGTGATATGTCTTCATTTCACATTTTAACTTCGTCCGATCCGACGCTATCATTAGATAATCGTGTCAAACAGACCCTTGCTTTCTTCAAAAAAGTGATTAAAGTTCCATAACAAGTCCATTAAATGTTTATGACAAAACCAAGTTATTCTCGACGATAGGTTAGGTTAGGTTAGGTAGGTATGGTTGGAGATTAGACAACTGACTCACTGACCACACTGGACCCCTTGTGATACCATGTAATCTCTGTGCAGATCCTTTTCCTAAGCTCATGGGTTATTGGGTTTCTCGAACCAGTTTGTTCTCTTTAGGAAACATAGGAGTTCCGGAATGCTTATGGCCGAAAGGTTGCCCTGTATGGCCGCAAGGTTCGGAAGTGTGTAGCCACAAACGTCACACGATTCCCCCTTCTGCCGAACGTCCATAATTAAGAGATAAAGTAAATTCACAACCAAAAGTATTTACTACATAAAGTTTATTATATTTAGTAAATATTTGTTTCGCGATATTCCACAGATAAATATTTAATATATTAGTATTATTACCGTTGCTTAATTCATTTTACATTTACGATTTTTCCAATATTATTAGATTTACTAAATCATAAATTAAATGGTTTTGTTTAATTCAACATTGCTAAGAGAGGGCTTGAATAAAACAACGATGACAGTGCAATTCAAATTATGTCTAGTGTGAGGGGGAATGTTTTAAAAGTTTCGGAAATATGAAAGTGTTTTTAATAGTGGCATTTATATATTTGTATGTATATACTCTTAAAGCTTACATTTAATAGCACAGATAGTTATAGTTATTTTTAGGTTAAGCTTTTTTCTAAGAAGTATTTTACGAACTTGTAAGTTTGCCATTGGTTTGTACATTTCATTTAACCGAACTCTATTGAAAATATAATATAGTAGATAACGAAATCAGGCAACATACTTCTTGGAGCTATAGAATTAGCCGGCATTGTTAGACATTTACATTTACGTGTACTATTCATAGACAGTAATGAATATCCTGTGGTTTATAGCTCGTTTAATTTAATCAATCATTACAAATTATTGAATATTGCAAATACCGAAGTTGGGCACTGCAATAAATTACTTTGAGTAGTTAAGTTTAATTTCCATACATTTATGTATACCTGTTTTGACTAATATGTGTATGCATATTATTTGGTGCAATTTTTATATTCCTTCAGACATTAATTTACTTTTTAATACGCTTAATTTCCTAATTATTGTTACCATTGTGGATGAGATGTGAGTGAATGAGAGTGGGTGTAAATGTGTGTTTTTATGTATTGTGTACTTTTAGTTTATCTCTATGCGTGGGTAATTTTAATGAGCCGTTGATTGCTTGATCTGTTGAACGAGCTTCTTCCATATCATTTTTATTATTTTTTTATTTGGGACGTTTTATATCGACCCCACCAACCATTTTTTAAAGTGCACAGTGCCACCTTTGTTGCAACGCACTTCTCTTCCAATTTTAATCCTTGTACTTATTTTTGACAATATTTCGAATCTTTTGCAGTATATTTGCGTCAAATGTTAAAACTAAAAGTAATATATCTCGCGAACGGAAGGCGCGAGTTGCATGAATCAGTTGGTTCAAACTTTCCATGGCTCAATACGAGAAAAATTGGGGATTCCATAGATAGCAATTTTTAAATCAGAGAAAGAGTCGGTCTGAAAAAAGTTCATAAAATATAATGTCAAGTGAGACTGTTTCATCTCGCCTTACGTTCGAAAGATATTATTAAGAGAGGTAATATTGTCAAATACGTATGAGGATAATAATGGAATGCAAAGTTCATTGCAATAACAGTGGTATTGTGATTTTTATAAATTAAAAAAATGGGGAGGTTAGGTTGATATGCAATGTTCCTTTTTTCTACATTTTTCTGTTTTTTTCCTTGCCTTGATATATGAGAGCGTGTCTCTGACGAGCTAAGCGTGACCTTAATGTGTGTGATCAAATAAATAATTTCTTGATTGGTCCATTAATTGCAATAGTGAAGCGAAAACAAATTCCACTCAACGAAATTGTGAAATATGACGAATGCTTTTAGTTTTTTGATCGAAAACAAACACCATCGGAAAATGTGATATGCTCCCAGTGCATAAGTGAACTCTAGTTCTACATGTGAAAATGCCTTTCATGGGTTATTACTTTTCTGAGTTATGATATGAATCGAATGTCAATGATATTTAAGAGTTTAGTTATATAGTTTGTATAAATCTTGGTATTCTATTGAGTTTAATAAATATTCCTTTAAATGTATTAAAAATGCATTAATTGACTAATAAGATGCATACTTTTGATTACAATTCGCAAGATACGTTGCATTAGTATATTTCTTTTGTCGTTTAATGAGCGTATTGCATCTGTATTCAATTTAACACAGAAACTAAATTTTTGTAAGTACGCAGCTTCAAGAATACATATTCTAAGAATAAACACTTGAATTTAAAATACGAATGTAATTTCAGAAATTGCGTTACATTTGAATGTGGTGCTGTTTGCCCTATGAAATTTTGCAATGGGTTTAGTGCTTTTGTTCTATTTTTTTTGTGGGAAACCCTATCCAAAACACGAAAAACTATAATCGAATTTTTTTAAATGTAAAGTTCTCCTTAGTAAAAACTTGACACTCCATTTGATTTTCCGCTGGAGATGCTTTTGTAAAAATGTTTTTTTAAATTGCTAACGCGCTAGAGTTTCAATTTGCGTTCATGTAAGGTACACAAATTGATTGTTTGCTTTTCAAATACCGAATAAATTATTTAACAATGTTACCAAAAAAACCATGTTTTATTTAACTACGCCTTGCTTTGTCCTTTTCTTGCCCTCTTTTACTTATATCCATTACTTTCCTTTGTGTTGACGGATACTCAGTTTAATCTGCATTTGCCTGTAGAACTTTATCGGATTCACGAAACCGAATCAAACGATAGGTTTCCAGTTGCTTCGCTGCGGGGAAAAAAGTAAATCAGAAATTAAAGCATCGAAATTGTGTTTTTCAATTTCTTTACAGTTTAAGTTTTATTTTTCAAAATTAAAATAATGGGCTTCACAAGCTGATATGCAAATCAACATAAATTCAAAATTGCATTCCGCCCACTTGTGAGATGATCAGGATTATGTGCTTAAAATAATATCACATTAAACTGTTTTCGCAGACATTTTTAAAGAATATTAAACACTTTGAATTGACTTAATTTGCGTGATGAGCATTAAAAACTAGAGCAGCACTTAGACATAAAATGGAAATGGAAAGTAAATGAAAGATAGCCATTCCAGCCAATTGGAGAACTTAATACACTTTATGCGATAGACGCTGAGATATCAATGGTTTTTGAAACTTTTTTAAATATGTTGTACAAAGCGAACAAAAAGAAACGTTCTACTCACAAATTGTCTACTTAGATAATAAACACAATACAGTATGTTAAATTAAAACAGAACTCTTCGCAATTTCTAAAACAATGCAAAAATTACAGAGAGCAAAGGACAAACCTGGAAGCTTACGTCAAATCTATGAAATTCCCTGTTTCGCCCAGTCTGGTCGAAAGCCGCATTGCCGACTAAATGTTTCCTAATTGGTCGAGTCAAATATAAAAGTAAACACACACATCGCTGCTCCCTTGCTCCTGATCCGGCTTTTGCTTCTCTGTGGCTGTACTTCGCCGCGCTTCTCGCTTGTTTTGGCATAGTTTTGCTTTTTATGGGTTTTTTTGTTTAGTTATTTAATTTACTCGGCTTTGGGGTGCATGTCTTCTCTAGCGCTTGCTTTTTGTCATACAAAGTCCAGCTCGGAGCGGGTGCTGTACATCTTGCGCTCCATGGTGCGTTCGAACCATTTCTTTATCTCGGAGACAACCAAAACCGAGGAGGTGAGGGAGACCAGAAAGAAGATGTCGTATGGCGTAAGGGCTTCCGTCTGGAAAACCATCTGCAGCGGCGGAAAGTAGACGACCAGCATTTGTCCAATGATAGAGAAGGCGACGGCCAGCAGGAACATGCGGTTGGTGGTCAGTCCGATGGTGAATACGCTTTTTGTCTGCGAGCGGCAGGAAAGCGCATTGAACATGTCGAAGAACACGAAGCAAGTGAAGGTCATGGTCGTGTCCCGCTTGGTCTTCCCTAACGTGCCGTCGGCCATCTCGCGCTGAAACACCCAAAGCGTGCCCAGCACTATTATGCTGGCACTGAGCAGAACGTTCGCCACCACTGACTTGGTAATCATCGGCTGCTTAACGTTTCGCGGTTTCTGCTTGAGGACATCGTGGTCCACGGGCTCTACGCCCAAGGACTGGGCGGGCGGGCCATCCATTATGATGTTGATCCATAGAATCTGCATGGCGTTCAGGGGATTGGCAATGTCCATCAGAGTGGCCAAAGCTATGAGCGCCAGGGCGGCAATTGATGTGCTCAGCTGAAAGCGCACGAAATTCCGGATGTTGTAGAAGATGCCCTTGCCCTCCTCGATAGCGGCGCTGCGGGGGAAGAAAGTTAAGTACAGCTGGACCATTAAGTCGCCTTGAGTCTACTCACATGATGGTGTGGAAATCGTCATTGACTAAAATCATGTCTGCCGCCTCCTTGCATACATCAGTCCCGTTTTTGCCCATGGCAATGCCGATGTCCGCCTTCTTCAGAGCCACTCCGTCGTTCACACCGTCGCCAGTCATGCCGACTATGTTGCCGGTGCGCTGCAGGGACTTCACTATCTCCAGCTTGTGGCGCGGCGATACGCGGTAGAAGACACTCACGTTGTTGGCCACCTTGTCCAGTTGGTGCTCGTTCATTTGATCGATCTCCTGACCGGACAGAGTCTGGTGGTGAATGGTATCGATGCCGATGAGATTCGCTGGAAGAGGGTGAAAAAGTCTCGTAAAAAGAGGAAGATGAATACAGAATGCCCCGCATTATTCAATCCAAACAATGTCAAAGGAGTAGGGCTGAAGGGGGTGGTGGCAATCAAATTAGGAGAGAAGTCCCTTCCGTCCTCGAGCTTACTTCTAATGCCTTGTAATCCGCTCTCACCTGGCACCAAAGCCCCTTTGTTGTGCCAACGCACTCAAGCAAATCGTCTTTCATTGCATTTTCCAAGCAATTGGCGCTGAACTACAGCGAGCAACAGGCAAGTGGAGGTGGCTGAAGTGCTGGAAAGACGGGAAGAGTCAGGATGGGAGCGGCGTGTGTGCCGGCACAGCTTGAAACCGCCGACTTGGATCTTAATCCCCGAAGAAAATGGAAAAACAATTGTTAATTTCTGGGGTGTGCTTGCAAAGAGTTGTTTGTCCTCGAAAATTCAATTGAAACCCAGCAGTAAAGTTCAAAAACTTTAGAAGGATCGACCCGGTTCCCCGCCCGTCTCCCGATAACACCCCCTGCCTCCTTCGCTTTGCACTCGAGCGCGTTTATGGAGTGCGCACGATGGGTGGCAGCAGCTGTGGGAGACAGGAACGACAACAATAGCGCCAAGAGAACTTTTGCAAAGTCGCGTCGCCATTTTTCATTATGGCGCCCGCGTATTTGTCCTGCCGAGCACCGAGCACTACGCCGGTCCTATCCCCGTGCTCGTCCTGTTTGTGCAAAATTTTAGCCAGAGCACTGAAGTAAATAATAACAGTCTGCAACAAAAGCAACAGGGTGGGCCCAATGGAGAGATGCGCGGCGAAATGAGCAAAATAAGACGTAATTAAAACGCGTTCAGCGACTTGAATCCCTACTCGCTGGGTTCCCAGACAATTAAAAGCAGCCACCGGGCTGCTGCAGGAAATTACAGAGGTGGCCAGCTCCTATCTGTGCACTACTTTCCTCCCATTCGGGTCTGTTTCAGTTCGCATGGTCTGCCCGCAGTCTCCTGGCTTAATACCAAACCATTGAGGAGCCGGTAGCCTGCAGACGGCGGTCGCCTTGGTGCCAATTTGAAGCAAACAAACTCCAGTGCCCGTTATTATCTCGGCCATGTTGTAGTTTGCTTCAAAGGATGCGGAGAAAGTCTTTTAGCATATTAGACTCGAAAAGCCGCAGGGTGAAAACTATTTCTACAAAAGTATGGTACAGGATACATATGTTGCTTTGCGTGTATTTTCTTTGTCATCGTTTACAAATCAATATAGATACACAGTTTTTTGTTGGATTTGTCACAGTATCAGGAGTCCAATAAAATTAACGAATGATTTTTCAACGTTATATAATCTTTAATGCACATACATATGAGATACGAGCCAACATGCACAACTTTACTTGAGAGCGATAACTAATGTTTAGAAAAACTCCGAAGAATTTAAATTGTTGGCTGAAGTTAGCTTGGTAGAATTTCGTTCGGCACCCTGACTATGTCAACCAAGCTTTTCGGAAAACAATGCCAATGCAATATTAAAATTGATTTAAAATTGAGAGCGATAACTAATGTTTAGAAAAACTCCGAAGAATTTAAATTGTTGGCTGAAGTTAGCTTGGTAGAATTTCATTCGGCACCCTGACTATGCCAACCAAGCTTTTCGGAAAACAATTGCCAATGCAATATTAAAATTGATTTAAAATTCAATTTATCATGCCGTATCTGTGCCAACACATCGAAGCTGCGACATTGACCGCAAAAGCGAGTCGTCTGTTTTCAATTTTCACGCTGCACAGCAGGGTCAATGGGCTGGAGGTGGGGCAAACGGGCTTTAACGAATGTTTCCATTGTTTACCTGCCGTCTACGTTGCGGAAAACTGCAATTCCGAATCTATTTCGGTTTTCAATTTCTGCTGATGACAGTAGTGCGTCTGCCACGCCGGAAACATTCATAAGCCCTGCATAAAACTCCAATTTTTTCGCAAAACCATGGAAAAACAAACAAGGCAGAGAGCTTTAGTCGAGTGGCTCGACTATCAGATACCCGTTAGCTGTGAGGGAAGTGGAGATACACAATCAGCGCAAAGTGGGCGATAGCTATTGACAAAACCATAAATTTCAGTTGAAATATAGTTAGTGTTATTGTAGCATCAAAACTGTGGGGCCACAGCTGTGGACGGAATCAGAAGCTTAGGAATCTAGACATTACAGACAGATGGATAGACGGACATGGTTAGATCGAGTCGGCTAGTGATCCTGATCAGGAATATATATATACTATATAAAGTTTTCGAATACTAAACGAGAAACGGGTATAAAAGAATATCCTTTATTTGTTATATTGTTGGATCCAATGGACTGTGAAAATGCCAATTGGCACTCATTGGCACTGCATTGTCCTACTCTAGCCCTTAAATAACGCCACTCTTTCACTCCAAGAGTAACCCAAAAATGACTACACCAGGCAAAAATAACACTCCCAGGAAAACTTTTTTCGGTCCGCTATACAGAATATGTTCTTGTCATTGTGAGGCATGTGAGGCAAAAAAAAAGTTCAGCTGAGAAAAGGGAAATAAACTAAAAATGTGAGCTTATAAAATTGTCACAAAGCGCTGCATAACCGCAAGCCGAAAGCGGATTAGGCATAATCTAGTGCACCCGAAAGCAAAAGTTGCATCTTGTTGCGGCAAAGTTTAGGAAAATGTAATGCGCCTAAAACTGAGCATCAGCATTTCGCTTGCCATTTGAACAGGCACTTTGAATGCCGACGAACCCCACACAGGAAATTGGGTCCTTAGTAGAATGAGTTTTTTAAACCCAAGCACCAACGAGTGAAAAAGTAAAGTCTTTCATTTGGTAATTGAAAGCTTCGCATGGGTCACGAACGAGTGAAGAAAATGTTCTCCCCGAGTGTCATTTGCATTTGCAGTAGAGTATTGTTAAGCAGTTCATGTACGTGACAATTTCATTCGACAGGTTGCTGAGTTCCCGCTCCTTTTTGTATTCTACGACCTCCGGAAGGACCCCATACGCAATCAACATGCTGGATTATTCTGACGATTCCAGGCATTTCAGAATGCACATCGCTTATTGTAGGGGAAATTGGGATTGGTTAAGACGCGTGTAATACATAGATTACTCATAAAGGTTTGAAACTTGGCAGTAATTTTTATACCTACAATAACGAGTTGAGACTAAGGACCGTAACAGTTATAACTTTTACTTTAAAAATCAATCTATAATCGTTGTTTATTACCTTTTATTTAGTAACTGTAATGAAGTAACTACTATTCTCTGACTGAAAAATTAAACTCTTCCCTAAACTTTTATTCAATGACAGTCCAAAAATAACTGTTGGAACTCGTACGTATCATATTTCTTAGTGAGATCACAGCTGTGTCTGAAGCACGCTATTGTTTCATACAATGCTCTACTAGAAACTAAATACATGCACTTTGTTGATTAGTCGATGCAATTCGCCCCAAGCTGCTAAACTTAAAAACACGGTAATAGGCAAAGCATCCAGGTTTTCGGCCGCAAGCAGAATTTTACGGTAAGCCGCTCAATTAGATAGCTTTTGAGCGGGATGCAGACAAAAGTAGCAAAGGACAAAGCCAGTGAAATTGCAATGCAGGGTATGTTGAAGTGGATCCTTCTGTGTGTTAGCCCAAACAGAAAATGAAATAATTAAAATCAAATTTGAGGGATTGGGAAAACTATATTGAGCTGTTTTTCTGCGGGGCAAGCACCCAAACCCAGTCCATAGCCCATGCAGATGACGGATTCCTGTCCGCCGCAGATGCGCGAATGACGAGAACGGTGGAGACGATGCTGATTCTGTGATATATATATTCGGGTGCGGAGAGATAAGGGTCTCAGTTAATTATTTCTGACTGCTGACGGCGATGTCGATGCTCTGTTCAGTTCTTTTATTTTTTCTACTTTTCAGGATATTTGATGTGGGGCTCCTGCTCGACGGTGGAACCCCAAAGGAGCCAGCTACCTGAGATTGGCTTCCCTTCTCTGCTCTTCACCCTCGACCGACTCCTTTGTGCTGTGCGCACGCTATCTTTTCCAATTTGGTGAGCTAGCTTTGTATTTGCCCGCTTCTCGTACAGCAAGTGCATTTTTTCATGTTCCCCAATACCCGACGAGTCGAACATTGAAGTCTGTACTTCCAGGCATACAAAACTCTTTATTAGTAGGTAAGATTGTCCCGAGTCGACACTAGCAACCACTTCATGTAACTTTAACTCTACCCTTGAGTGGAAAACTTCAGATTTAGCCTCGCACACGCAAACGCTCCTAATAAGAACTGCCCAAAAGAAAAACTTCTCGAGCTGAAAATCTTGAAACTCTAGCCACTGGCCCATGGTTAATTAATTCTGATGCCTGGTTGGCACAGACTCATTGCACGACCCAATCCCTTGAGCACAACCCTTCACTCGCCCACATGTCCTTGTCGATGTATGGAGCTTGGAGTTCTATGTCTTCTCCTCAGACATGAATTGTGGCCTGTCAAGGGAGCTCGGTGGAAGTGAGGGACTATCCTTGCCACTTTTAATTATGCGGCCTGGACAAATCTATTGACATAGTTTCGGCTGGGTTAAGCTTCCACAACGAAGCTGCATAAAGACTTTATAATTGGGGTTTCACTCAACCAAGTCGACATGATAGGGAAATTTTCGGATTGGCGGGGAAACAAATATGATTAATAAAGGCGCAATGTTTGCCCAGGATGTGCCTACATCAACCCACCAAGAATCCCAGTTACTCACCGATAGCCAAGGCCGTTTCCTGGGCATCTCCAGTTACCATCTTAACCCGCACTCCGCTCTGCATCAGCATCTCGATAGACTCCCGCACAAGGGGCCTCGGTGGGTCAGTGATGCCGACCAGGCCGCAGTAGATCAGGTCCTGCATGGACCGGCCTTTGGCCAGTGCCAGCACCCGGAGGCCCTTGCGCCCGATCTCGTACGCCTCGGCTAGGAACTCTGCCTCGTTCTGCTTGGTTAGTGGTACCGTTTGGGTGCCGAACTGGTACTTGGTGCACTGCGGCAGGAGCGTCTCTAGTGCCCCCTTGGCGAAGAAAATCTCCTCCTTGTTGTTGTTGTATTTGTGGATGCACTTGACAGCCATCATTTTCTGTTCCGAGCTGAAAGGGTACTCCTGGATGCGAACGTAGTTCTCTGCTGTGGCGTACATGCCGTTCTTCATGGCCACCGCCACGAGAGCTCCCTCTGTGGGCTGTCCCAGCAGCGTCCCATTCTGGATGTAAGCGTTGTTGCAGACCGCCCCGATTTCCAGGAGGTTGTTAATATTGGTCTTGGCCATCTCCACGTTATTGCAGTGCCGAATGTGGATCTCTCCCTGGTCGTTGTAGCCGGCGCCGGTCACGTCCGCCATGTATCCGTCCGAAGTGATGATGATCGTGGCCGTCATCTCGTTCTTGGTCAAGGTGCCCGTCTTGTCAGAGCAGATGACATTCACGCAGCCCAGGGTCTCAACAGTGGGCAGCTTCTTTACGATAGAGTTCCGCTTAGCCATCCGCATCACTCCAAGCGCTAAGGTGACTGTCACTACGATGGGTAGGCCCTCGGGAATGGCCGCCACGGCCAGCGAGACGCTGATGTTGAACATCTCCGAGAGCGGCTTGCCCTGCAGCCAGCCCAGCAGCATTATGACGCCGATAATCAGAAAGGAGTAGAAGCTCAACTGTGCGCCCAGGATGTCCATCGACTTCTGGAGCGGCGTCTTCGGAGCCTCCTCTGCCTGCATCATCTTGAAGACCTCGCCGAACTCGCTGCGCTCCCCAGTGCTGACAACGATGCCCTTACCATTGCCACACCTTACCAGTGTACCCATGAAAGCTATGTTCTTCATGTTGCTGTGGTCCTTTACGTTCGTGTTGTTGAGCAGGACGTCAGTAATCTTGCGCGCAGGCTCCGTTTCGCCGGTAAAGCTGCTCTCGTCGATAGACAGGTCCACGGCCTCGAAAAGGCGCACGTCGGCGGGCACCCTGTCGCCCACGTTAAGGTGCACGATGTCGCCGGGAACCAGTTCGCGTGCCAGGAAAGTGTCCAGACGACCTTCCCGCAGACAGTGACACTCGGGTGGCACCAGTTTCTTTAGCTCCTCCAGGCTCTTCTCGGAGCGGTACTCCTGAATAAAGGCCACCGTGACGACGATCAGGATGGCGATGGTTATGCTGACAGCGTCGTCAAATTGCTTCATGATCACGGACACCAGGGCCGAGCCGAGGAGCAGCAGAATGAGCGGGTTCTTGAACTGCTCAATATACTTCTTCCAGGTGGGGTCCTCTGCGACGAGCAGCAGCTCGTTGTGCCCGATAATCTTGGCACGGTACTTAGCTTCCGTCCATTTGAGGCCGGTCCGCACGTCGACCTGCAGTCGTCCGGCGACCTCGGAGGCGCTGTGAGTCGATGATTCCGAGGTGGATAGCAACATTTCGGGTGTGAGGGTTAGACCCGTCTGGGGAGAAAAAACGGAACGGTTAAATTCTTTCAAATCTTTTGAATGGATCCGTAGTTAATTTTATGTTAAAAGCTTATAGTAATCAGGGTGGGTGCACATGCATTGGCCACCATTCTCGGTAGCCAAACCACCCCGTTTTAAATACAACTTCCACTTAGTCCTGACAACAAACTTAATGGCCAACAGCATGTCTTCTCCCCCTGAAGCCTTGCTAATTTGCAGTCATCAACAAATTGTCCTTGTTCTTGGAGTCGCACATAGTTGGCATACTACCCGTTGAGACCGCCGAGCCCCCTACGAAGTCTCTTCTCTGTGTTAGTTACCTACTTTCAAAATAACTGCTTACGTTGTCCTTTTGCAAATGTATGTAAGAGGAGAAAGAAAAGTTTCCAACCATCTGAAGGACGGAAGGATTTTCAGTTTGAAGAATTATTATTACTGCTAATTAATGTCCCTGCGTTCAACCATTGGACGAGGGTCAAAATTTGGACGTAAGTCGGCGTGGCTAGCTTCAATGTGTATACAACAAATAATGCATTTTAGCTGAAATATTCGTTATAGCATTAAAATTGTGGGTGGCTTAAGCTGCGTAGGCATCACTAGAATCTTAATAAATAAATTTAAACTAATATTTAAACAACTATATTAAACTTATTGAAGAGTTAAGGGACCAAAGGAATCATCCATTTAGCAACTCCCTAGCATTGGTTACATTAATTAGATAAATTAGGGTTTTTCACAGCGTTGAAGCATTAGTCAGGGACGATTTGTGAACACAAAATTTAAATTGCCCGACTTCAGATAATGCAATGCAAATATATCACGAGGATGGGCGGGGAAATTGGTTTTAGGTAACTTCACGAAGCGTCATGCATCATTTAAACAAAAAACTGCCATTGTGGAATATACTAAAAGTATAATGCACACACCATTTAAAATATTTTTTTTGGGTTCTTTAATTATTACTTGGTGAGTTGGAACCAAATGAAATGGAGAGCTGGCAGCGTACATTAGCACATTATCATAAGTCATCAGTTTTATTCCACAGATATATAGTCAAAAACGGCTACCTAAATTTGTATTGAACTATTGAATGACAAGTCCCGAATTCACACGTCTAGACTTTTTGGTTTTATTGCAAGACATAAAACTTTGTTGGCTTTTCTGTTCGAGGGCGCTTTCGGCCCATCGCCACCACAACTCAGTCGGTAATATTCTCTTTGTGGATCTGTGTATTCAAATGCTGCATACAAAAACTGGCTCACAGTTGTCGCTTTTCGAAAGGCAAATAAAATGGGCTTTGTAAAATGGAACTGTGCACTTGAAAGCCAATGGCTTTTGGACAAACATTCTAAAAAATAGCTGCGAAACGTGATTGGTATATTAGAATGCGGGCTTCGATGATCTAGAGATTCGTGCCCTAAATGCCGGTGGGAAATGGTATGAAGCTGGTACCTTCCCAAAACATTGCCTTGCGATTCTCCCACATTATCTCCAAGCGAGTTAATCGCTCAGTACCAGTCAGTCCCTTCCCGGTAAACCGGATAGACTTCACCTGTTGGAAGGGGTACTAAGCGTTACATAAGCCAGAGTTTGCTAATTTGCAACCAAGTCTTGGGCAATAAATTTCAACAGGTCGGCTGGATTAGCAATGCAAAGGTTTAACGAGAAATTTAACCACCAACACCCGGAATTCCCCAGCTTAGGCGCGAAGATACGTCTGCACCTGAATCGGAGACTCATGATCTGTGTGTTTAATACTCTGTACCTGCTCCTCAATAAAAATACTAATGGTGCGCCTAGCTCTAAGCATCTTTCAGGACTTCTGGAAGGAGAGAAACTCGTAAGAATTAGCATACTTCTCTATGGACGGCCAAACGAAGATCGGTAAAAATTTACTTATGAACAAACCACAACCTCCAACCCAATCCCAAACATATGTACACGCAAAGGTATGAGTGAGTTGGCAAAGTATATGAGTTAGTGAGGGCCACTTACGTCGGAGGCATTGATGACTATCATTTTGTTGGATCAGAAAAAACGACGACGATGGGACGAATTCTTATCATTAGAGCGAGAGTTGATACCTTCCGACCCTCTCGCCACTCGACATTCGGGGACGCACGCCAATCGATTCTGGAGCTTGTTTTATTTGTTCCGTCACGAACGAGATGCGAGCATGAATACTAAAGTTTACTAAAGTCTGCCAGCCCCAAATGTCCCTCCGCACGTGGTACGTGCGCTTAGATCGGCAATGGAGCTTTACGAGGCGAGTGGTTCCGTGGTTACAGCTGGATAGATCGCCCAGTTCCGCGTCACCCAGTAGTTCTCATTGTCGGGAATATGGAGCAATCACTGTTTGTAGCACTCTCGGCAGTAGAAAAGATATCGCGCGAATCTGATAAGGAAACATCAAATCGAAAATCGCAGTCAGCCGACGTGGGTCATCGACAGCACTCGATGTCCCACTCCGTTTTGATTGGGGTTTGACAAAGAAATTTGAAAACCAAAGACGTCAAGCCACAACACTTTGGCTACAAAGGGAATTCCGCGACGTACAGTGGACATTGGTTAGCAGCGACTTTCTTATTTTTATTTTTTTTAACGCTTTGCGTCGAAACATAATGGGGCTCATGAGTGTGCTGTCATGTTAAACTAAAAGTAGGTTTTAAGGTCTTTCAAGCCTACGTTTAGATTGCCATCACTGTTTTTAAAAAAATTGTAGATTTAACTTAGATGCAAACACTATTAAAAAGATAGAGTCCGTGAGTAACCAAGTTTTGCTCTGACTGAATTAATTATTCTTGAGACCGCGCTTGCAAAAAGTTATTTCTGAATGATTGAAATTAAACTTCCAAGTCAAAATTACACAAGGATATTTAACATTTAACTACTGATGGTTATGAAAAATATAACGTATCAACATTGAACATCTCTCGTGTTAACCAGTGTCCACAGTAAGAGGCAATTCTTTCTTTGGAAGCGGGGAGCAGATGATTGGTATGTGTGACGCCGTCTGACGAAGAATTCTGGAGAATCGGGGGCTAGTTTCCCCAGCTTGTTAGAAATTCGAAAACGTGGCCGAGACATGCTTCTTGATTTGGCTTAATTTACTACGGGCAGAGGCGAAGACTCGAGCTTTCGCACTGGACACTTTCACCGGAAGCCGAGGTCTGGGACCGCGCTGGCACGGAGATACTTTCTGATCGCTGCGTCGGGAGCTCGGAACTCGACTGAACGAGCGTTTATCGGGGAGGTTGTTAGGAAGGTAAATTGATTGAATTGCGGGGCGGCAGCTGGGTGGTGGGGGTGGCGTGGGAGTGCGGTGGTGGGTGGGAGCAGCAGCCGCAGCGACAGCAACAACAACAGAGATGTGGACAGGTGAAACAAGGCGGCAGATAATGTGAAAAACAGGCGACAATCACGGCACAACAACAACAAAAGCAGCGGCACAAACAATTCCCGAGAATGTGGGAGAGGGACGCAGACACTAACAGCGGGCGCGGGCAGTCGCCGTTTGCTTTCAACTCACGCGACAGGTGGGCAGGGGCGGGGGGGGGTTAATTAAGTGTGTCACATGGAACACAGACTGTTTCGATTCACAAAATCGTATTGCTTTGTTTCACTATTTGTTCCCCGATGTTTTCGTCGGCAGACCAGACACGCGCAACGCAAGAAAAGTGACGAATGTGATCGAGCGACGTGTACAGACTCAGAGAGAGCGCGCAGTCGCGAGAGCGTGAGGGCACCACTAACAGCACGGGCGGTGCTGTTGGGGCGCAAGCCATAAGTTTCAAGAGAGCGACTCCAATCAGACTGCAGACTATGCTCTGTTATCGCTGAATCCATACGATAATGGTTGTGTCGGTCAAGTTTAGATTGGAGTTGGGAACGTGTCGTGTTTTTGAATTAAAACATACGCACGCATTATGAGCACGAAAATTAAATACTGCCCACAAGGTGGTGCAGAAATGTTCAGTGTTGAGTATGTTTGAGTTTTTAATTCCTGTCTCATATTTCCTGTTTCCCTTAGCTGGTTTTGCACGAACTGCTTATTCATAAAATATATGTATGTATCGTAACATTTTTTGAAAGTAACATAGATACGATTTAACTTAATGAATCTTCTTGTAAGATTTTAGTATATTTACAGACTTATTGCTTACTCCTATTATGAACATTGCCAGAGCAAGCATGTGAAATATATTAAAAACTACATACTAATGTAGATAACATGTAAAAAACTCGTTGGTCCTTTTGCTTTGATATCCTTTCTTTTGTTTTGATATATGTGTAGGAAAGAAATGCCATTTTTGTGGATCATCTTTCAGGTCATAGAATATTAAAACTGATATGTTCAAAAAGTTCATGTATGTATAATATACTTGTAATGGATGTCAAAAATGTTTGATAGTGTGTACAATTTGTGTAAAATCGTTGATAGCTAAAAAGAAAGTGTAGTAAAAATATTAAAATAGAGTTAAGCCATGCTTAAGCAAGCAAGTGGGAGTGCCAACTTTTTTGTTTGCAAAATTATATGTAATTAATATCGAAAAGAAAAAAATATAAGCAAAAAGCTCCTATCACAGAGATAAAAATTGGGGTCGAAAGGTTTAGTATACAAAATACATAAACCAAAATGCAGAACGATTTGATGTTTTAAGATAGAAACAGTGTACAGTAAACAAGAACATTTCAAATACCAAAACAAACCCATAATCAGTCAATATTTAAGAAAGCTTTGTCAGTAAGCTGGTTTAATTGTTTGACATCTTTAGTACAGTATCTTTAGTATAGTAATGGGATCCCAGACCATCGGATGTTTTCAGCGGGGTGATATGCGGCTATTAGCGGTTTCGCTTACAATTGTTTCGCCACTGCTAATTACTCAATTACATGGATCCGCTATCTGCAGCAATCGCTATTTTTGGGAAAGCCTGTTCATTGTGTCGCCGCTGCCCTTACAATCTCCATATGCAAATGTTCTAGGCAGCGCG